AGACACTTGCTGCGATCTGCCCTTAAGGTAACTCTCATTTGCAAGAACAGAGGCGTCAGTGTGAGGTGGGAGAGACTTCTCCGCTTACAGATTTAGTAGGCTCTTGCTAGCCCGGAACAGCTTTGATTCGTCAGAACTGTTCTCGTCAATGAATTCCTTGTAATAAGTACATCTAGCTTCATTCATCAAATGTATGACATAATTTCGCTTAGCTTTAAATACCACAATATCAGCTTGGAGACCACTTGCCCTCCATCTTCTTTCGGCCTTCCTCCTGTCCCTACGAGCCTGAATTATGTCTTCATTGAACCATGGGGGCCTGGGTCGAGTGGAGACATGACGAGAACAAACGGGCGCGTGATCATCTAATAGTGATCTTACAGTCGTGTTATAACAGTCGAGCAGCATGTTCAAATCATTCAGGTCGGTCGGGTCCGTTAAGAGGGTTGGACCGTTCCGTAGCAACACTGACTGAGATATAGAAGTCTCAGCAGAATCGGCCACCAGGGCTGGGTTTGCCAAACTGGAGCAACGAGATTTAGATCTGTTTGGTCGATTGTTACCTTCGTCAGGGTTTTGGATATCAGATTGAAGTGGTAGGGGGGGTGGGGGGCATAGCCCCATAGAGGAGCCCAGTTTATCGTAAAGGCTTTGTGTAGATGGCTCCAGGGTCGGCTCTCCAACTGATGTAATCCGTGAGTTGGTTGGTTAGACGACTCGCAAGCAGATTCGTCTGACAATTCAGCAGAAAAGGCTAAATAATTGTTGGGACCAACTTCCACTCGCTCATGTCCTTGAATTCTTTGGATTCCTTGTTCGCTGAGACGTTGTCTCTTCCTGGGATGTGAGAAGCTATCAAAAGGATGTCTCTTTCCTGACACCAATCCCACATCTCTAAGACCAGAGTCATAGGTTGACCATGGGGGAACGTGTACCCCCTTTGTTGTTGATGTAAGCGATGGCGGTAGTGTTGTCTAGCCAGAGAGATTTGGTTACGTGAGACTTACCTTTGAGACAGGTTTTCCAGTAAAGCCAAAAAAGGACGCCTTTAGCTCTAGATAATTGATTTGTTAGAGAGACTCTTTTGTGACCATCCTTTTGCACCCCAAGCTTTCTTGGATGCGTCAGATGTGATCATATCCGGCGGAGGAAGGTGCACGGGATTGCCGTTTGCATTGAGGGTGTGTTTCAACCACTAAGCACGTTCTACTTTGGCACTCGGTGAGAGNGGCGCGTGATCATCTAATAGTGATCTTAAAGTCGTGTTATAACAGTCGAGCAGCATGTTCAAATCATTAGGCGGGTCTTGATATAGCTGAGAATTGCGGATATCTTCTTTCAGTTTAGTTATATCAAAGTTATGATTGCAGGTTAGGCCCCGGGGAGCCCCTCTCCCCCAGTCCGACCGCCTGGATCCGCCACTCTGTCATGTGCATGAGTAGCCTGCAGAACAGGCGGATTAGCGGGGCAGAGAGCGAAACGCGATACAAGAGCGCGAAGCGCGAGACGAATTTGTTTCGTCTCGCGCTTCGCGCTCGTGGTCGCGCTCCGCGCTCGTGGTCGCGCTCCGCGCTCGTGGTCGCGCTCCGCGCTCGTGGTCGCGCTCCGCGCCTGTGGTCGCGCTCCGCGCTTGTGTATCTCGTCTCGCTGACTGCCCCGGTATTCCGCCTGTTCTGCAGGCTAGTGCATGAACGAATAAAAAGCCGTGTTCCCACAACAGTGACAATTAAAGATAGAGCAAAGATAGAAGTAAAATAAAACGGCTACTCATGGTCATCAATTTTTCAGGGAATTTAAGGCAAATAAGAACATATACCCGCGGGAGCTGGTACACGAAAACCCGAAAAGTACCAACTTATTCTAGCCAATTCTAGCCTTCTAGGTACGTCAAGCGATGTCTTCTGCAAGTAGGTGATCAAACAAAGTCGAAAACATAAAAACTAACACAGATTGCCGAGTTCTTTAAAACTTTTTCATATGCTTACCGTCGGTTATGTTTATAAGTTACGAGATACAACGGATTTTCGCTTAAGTTTAATTGATGTGCAGGTTTGTTGCATAAATTATCGTAAAACTCACGATCAAACACAAATCCTAAAACTACACGAATGAAGAAAGAAGATAACTTTTAAAAAACCCTAAATTGCGACATGATCGCAATGTCTTTTTTTGAAATTTAAATAGGATAAAACTATAGTGAAGATTAACGACTAAAATTTAAAAATAAAATAATTTTCAGAGGATATTACGTCACTAAAAGCACACGCGTGTGTTGTAGATTTATTTTTTCCCTGTTCTTTCCGAGTTAGACGACGCTTGCCCACTGGTTCCTTCTTTGCCTTTGTCACGTGACTGTTGAGTACCTCTGCCTGGTCCGCGGTGTTTCACTTTCCCGCCAACAAGCGGCGGAGGATGCGCAGTAGGGTCTATCCGCTGTATTGTACCGACAGCTTTCGTTCTTCCTTCTCTGAAGATCATTCGCGTTTCCGGTTTGACAAATTCTGGTTGCTTTATAAAGCGGAAACGAACCATGGCTTTGTCTCCTGTCCGTAGATGTTCTTTATCCATGTGAATTATCGTGGCTGTTTGCCGCATGCTTCCGCAGTGGACTGAAAAAGAAAAAGAGAGTATAATTGGTTACTCACTAAATTTAGATTGACTGAGCTCGGTAACTGCTGCATACAAAGACTTCGCGCAACACCTGTGTAACCAATCAGAGCGAACACGCTGTTGTTTTCAACCAATCACCAGAACCATCATCCCACGCTTGGTTTAGACCTGTTCGCTTTGCCACACCGGAGTAATCAATCAAAGCGTACAGGCTTTTTTTTCAACCAATCAGAAGTCAAACCAAAACCATTTTCCCGCGCTTGGTTTATTTCTACTCGCACTGCAACACCTATCTTCGAAACTGCGTTCATATGTGGAATACGACCTGCAATTGCTTGGAAGTTGTGCTGTCGAAAGCGTCAATGTGTGTGCTGTGGAAGCATGCGACGGAAGACGAACTAAATGGCTCCGTTAAACAGTTCTGTGTAAAAAAAAAATACTCCCGCTATTCAGCGAATGACGACAAAAGATTTCGTGGTAACGAATCGTATCGCTTTAAACTTCCTGCCATTACAAGTAGCGTGATCCAGTTGTCCCAGTACTGACCCATGGCCTGGTATTTTGTACTGATAGTTGTTGGATGATGTAGTACCAACACCTCGGCTTCGAATTCCCAGCATGCTTGTGGTTTGACTTGTTTATCCACCATAACCATTCCTTTCCTGATCTGCGATCTTTTTATCTGATTTAAAAAAGCACAAACTTAGCGAAAAAGATCTAGTTAACTAGGTACTGTTACAACCTGGACTCTAGAAAATTTTCTGGAATGTTATGTTACTATAAACAAGAAACGAGAACGTGGATTGAATTTTGGTAAATATACAAACAACATCTTCTCACTCCTAATAGTTGTGCAACAATGATGCATTGCACGTACTCACAACGGTTGCACAATTTCCCCCTATTGAGTTCAGTCGCATAATGTCTCTCTCCTCCGCAGAGGGTTTCACAGGGCCGCTGTGCGAGGTGTGTGCAGACGCAAAGTTCACGTAAGCCTGCCCCTGCATTCGTATCGTTCAGCGGATTCTCCCCGCCCGAATAAACCCTTTTGAGCCTCCGCGGAGGAGAGGCATAATATTGAATTCATGCCCACGCAAATGTCGCTAAAACTAGAAGCCCGGGTCGCAGTTCGCAAAAGATTTTCCAACAAAATGTTTTTCGCAGTACATAGCCTTTATGCAGAAATACAGTAGTAATTTGGATAGCTGTGAAGTAGTTTACTCAATTTTTTTTTCTTCTTCTAGTAAAAGGAAATTAAATTTCTCCACTGTGAAAAAGGCTATTCCGCCAAAACCCAACTTCAGGCGCGGATTCATACCAGTTTCCACCGTTCCGGGGAAATCGGTCAGATCAAGTTAAGAATGACTCAGAAACGCCACAAAACGAACTTAACGGATAAAAAAATCTAGAACACTTTCTAAGAAAGCATGGCCCTGGATCCCTCTAGAATGCACTCGTCGTTTCGGAAATCAGTAACCATTTATCCTAAATCCGCGCCTGAACTTTCTACTAGCAAACCACGATTCCCACCTTGAAGATGAGATAAAATGTTAAAAATAGATTTGACAAGCCCGATTTCTCCACAAAATTTTACAACCAGGACATTTCACATGATTATAATGGAGAGGACAAGACAGCGGTACAATTTCAATACATACTTTTTTCAAAGCAAATGATGCCGTTTGGCCTGCACGAAGTTCTTTCACTGGCATTCTCTTGCGATGTATTGTCTTGACCGTGATTGGCTGAAACTGTCCTAGAGGGTCTGGGCCGAGAAGTAGGACGTCATTCAGTCGAATGGTTCCTCGTAGACACGTGCCTGACACTACTGTTCCAACACCCTAGGTACAACAGAGAAAAACTTTTCTTGATTAAGGCTCCCTCCACACTAATCCGTTAAGAAAGCGGAGCATTTTGAAAACGCTCTTCAAACCGGAGGAATTTGAAAACGTCGGCTTTACGTTTTCGTGTGGACGAAAAACATTTTGTCCGGCGATTAGTGGACAGAAAACACTTGATGCGTTTTTAGAGTGAAAGCACCGTGATCAAATTTCTCCGGCGTAGTGTGGGCGGGGCCTAAACTGCAAAAAAAAAAAAAAAAAAAAAAACGATCAGTGTTTTACTTGGATAAAGGCAAGTGAAAATAACCCTTCCAAAGGCGACACAAGAGCTCAAAAATCGCTAACAAGTATCACAAGAAATTTAAAGACATAAGTATTTTGGAATAAGTAAAGACCTTCTGTTGGCCTATGCAATGGCATGAAGAGAATAAGATACTACAGTGTTTTGTTCAGACATAAATAATCAGCCCACAGTAAACTCTTTCAAAACTTCTGTCCACGTTTTCATTCTCCCTTTTAATTTCAAATGCATTATGCATTTGCACATGAATTAAACAAGTTCAAGATACTATATTGCATGTCTGGACACAGGGTAGCTGGAGGTTTCGCAGCCGAACGAGTTTGCACCTGCCAAGTTCGCATCCACATCGATTGAACCAGCGATCAATTTCTTAAAAATTATCTTAAAAATTATCGCTTACCGAGCAAAAAAGACAACACTGTGGGCATAATGAAACAAAATCACACAAGACATGTTTATTTCTCATTCTCTAGTAGGAGTAGAGTGGAGAATAAAAAAAGTGTTAACAAAGCTCCCACCCACCGGTACTGAGTAGGTGTCATCAATCTGGAACTCAGAGGGCTCATCCTTCTTGAAATGTGCACGGATTGAAAGCAAATTGAGAAACATTTTCAGGAGGTCAAGATTCTCACCAGTCACATTGGAAATCTGGAATATTGGGCACACCCTAAGAAAAAAAATCACTAGAATAAATGACAGTCATCGTGATTATAATCGTCAACGTGAACGTGATCGTGATGCTGATCACGATCGTAATTGTGTCGTACGAGTTTACAAACAGAAATCATAAGTAACAATAATTATTATCTGAACACTCAAAGCAACATTGAATAACGTAAATGGATGGGGGGAATAGAGGTTATTGACCGACTTTCTAAGGTAATTTTTGAGTCTACTTTGCACTTGCTGTGCCCTTAAATTTAAGTAGCTAACGTACTGATATGTGCAACTGATTTTGTCACAATGGCACCATTATTTGCATTTGCATTTGCAACAATTGATTGTTCACAATCAATTATTGCAATTATTGCTCTGGTTTTGATTTTGTAACAATCATAAAGAAACCAATACGTTCAACCTGATCGCACGTTGTTACATGAAATATGCAAACTTTGTATTCAATAACAAACAAAGACACTTGCGGTGCATGTACATACCTTTCAGAAACAAAGTTTGTTGCCGAAACCACTACATCATCAGTGTTTTGCACAATGACGGGGATTTTACGACAACCAGGAGACTTCAGAATCCTTGCTAAAAGTTTCATGGTGTCTTGGAGTACATTGGGTGGACACATGTCAATCTTTGTCACCACCACAAACACAGGAACATTAAGTGCTAGTGCAAGCCCAAGATGTTCTGAAGGGAAGAAGAGTTCATACAAATAAACAGCAGAATAGATTTAGGAGATCATCGACAGTAATACCAATGGCAAAAAAAAAAACTTGCAAGGCATCATATTATACACCTCCACTATGAGGTTTTAAGGGTGCTCATGTGATGGTTGGCGCACTGGACAGAATCCAGATCCAGCGGTCCAGCTTTGAGCCGATGGCTAGGGTCATTGAATTATGTTCTTGGGCAAGACATTTTAATTGTTAATTTACTTGTTAATACTTGTGTAAGTTGCCACAATGTTTATAGTAAGATCTTGTGAATTAATATCATGTTCATGAAAATATTCATACCCCTTACAAAGAAGGAGTTTTGGTTTTGAATCCCCCAACCCCTCTGAAAATTTTGGTTTAGCTTCAAAACTTAAGCATTTGAAACCCACCTCCACTCTGGAAGTTCCTTGGGGTGTGTATGGATATTGTGTGTATGGAGCTACCCAGCATAGAAGTAAAAGCAGTGTTTAATCAACAGCTTCACCTTTGAACTAGGTAATGAGCTACCAAGAAGATATCCAGCATCGTAGGCACATAATGCCTGCAAAAAGCTACAGCATGCACTGTGTGACTACACGGTAAAGGTAAAGTCTGCTTACGAGCCAAGTGACCCATCAGGCCAGAGCTTATCCTGGTTTCTGTAGCATGAAGTGACCAGGAGTATTTCTACTTCCCCTGGATGGGGATGGGGTGGGGGGACTGCTTGATCTGGAGACGAGGGCATTAACCATGAGGCCACCGCACTTCCCTGTATAACTATAGTGATGGTTTATTATTCTTAAGACACAAACCAATACACAGTTTTACCTTTTGTCATGCCTATAATTCCTGCATTTGATCCAATCTACACGAGTAAGAAACAAAGCTGCCTTTGAACAATATATTAACAATAAAAATTTGTGGTTTCCTTTATAATAGCCCACGGAAAGTCATTCAAAATTCAAATATGTAAAACATTTTTTACTGACCATCAGCATAGCAAAGTCTGGAACGTGACCAGTCATTCCAAAGATAGTTGTTTTCAGGTATCTTTCATGCCCAGCCAGATCAATAAAAGTGATCACCTAAGAAAAAAAGATTAAAAAAAAAACCTTAGTTAGCATTTATCCTGAAAACCTGTCTGTAACCCGTTAGTTATTTTTCGCCTTGAAAAGTCAAGCACTCAGACCATGTCATCAGACGTGATTCATTCTGGTGGCCAGGACACAATCATAATGTTTTACACAAAATGCTTAACTGACTGAATAAACATAACACAAACTGGATCTGACGTGTACAAGCCAGACAGAAATAAAAACCTCATCTCTTGTTGCTTCTATAGAAGGCAACATATTGTTAACCATGTATTTTTGGATCTGTTCAGTGGATTTTATGTTGGGGCCACCATTATCTGGAAAGTACCGGTCTGATAGATGAGTGAATGCTGAAATGTAAAAAAAGTTTTTTTTGCTCTGATATGGTATCATGCATTACATAAGGCAAAAAATCACAAACCTTTGAAGACTTCTGACATATCCTGGACCAATCAAGCCCTCCTCCTGTATTTAAAATAAAAGCATGAATAAAATAGTACACAGATTTGCACAAGCACTACATTAGAACAACATTTTGAAGATTTTTACAGTTGAGTACAGTCATTAATAACATTACTGGTTTTAGTAAATACATTATTTTAGAAGTACTTGTAGTCATGTACTACTGACATAAGAGAATGTTTATTTCTCATGAAATTTCTGATTTGTGAACACAGTCACACTGGCTAAGTAGTCAAAAACAGTTGCTTGTCCACACAGCAGATTTTTTAATCTGAAGCACAAAAAGATTTTTTGTCTTGTTTACCGTGAGTATCAGGCTTGTTGACAACGTCTCCTCTGCTGTCAAAACCCAGGATATCATTTCCCACACTACTGGTTCTTCCTGATTCCATCTCATGTTTGTGGCGGAATAGCCTCTGTCTTGCCATGCCTCGTCCGTTGTCTAGTTCCCCATGAGTCAGCACACCCAGTAAGGTGCTTTTGCCTGCATCCACATTACCAACCACAGCCACTCTGATTGATAAAAAGGTTATTGTTAATAATAAATTAATATAAATTCTCACCAAAAAGTAAATGTCAAGTTTAGTTATGTAGAAAATGTTTGACAAATTTTCACAGAAAAAAGGAAAATGCACATTTTATCCATCATGTTAAGTGCTGAAAGTAAAGTCATAGCTTTCAACTGAATGTTTATAAAGTCTAGCCTGCAGATTCATTCAACAGACCTAAAATTTGAAACCACCTGGCACAGCAAAATAAACAGTACCACAAAAAGAAACTGGTATTGCTTTACAGTTGTCATTAAACAGCTACAGTTCACTTAAGCCCAATAGGGAAAGGGCCAAGTGTAAACTTAATTGACAAACAATTAAGATGTTTTCCACTTACATAAACAAAAGATACTCACCTCACTTCCATAAAATCACTTTCATCTGCCCTGTTGCGCACAAGATACTCTGCAACAGTCCCTTCCTCTGCTGATTTCTCTCTAAGCAAGACAATGTCGGCATCACAGGCTTCGGATAACAGTTTCAGGGAGTCCACTGAAGCTTTCAAATCCTCTGCATTGAGGCCACTTGGTGTACTATCTACAGGACATTTTGAAGACAAACATGTACCTTGTGGTTAATAGTTTATTAGTTTCTCATATTATATTTAGAACTGAATGTGTTTCTTACAGTTACTTCATGACTACAGAAATCATTACCACTTGCATCCTTTAACTGCAATTTACGTAATCATAATCACTTTTATACACGTGTAAATAAAGGGCTGGTATAAACATGTAAAACATGAAATTATTGTATTAATTTAATTTTCAATCAGTCAAGGATGCTAGTAAGAAATCTGGAAGGGCTTGTGAGAATGACTTTCCAGTGAGTATGTCATACTACAAAAATCTCAAAAACCATGGAATGAGCTCGAATTTTTTGTACATTGACCACTCCCACTTTGTTTTGCTGACCTGCCCACGTTTGTTGTTGCGAGTTGACTGTAAGTGAAGTTCAAAGTAAAGGCAAGGAAAGGAAAGAAGCAGTCTGATAAAAGTGCTAATTAAACACATTTAGCACATTTATCTGCTTCTTTCTCTTTCCTCGCCTTTAGTGTTAATAAATTGTTTATTTCTTATATCTACTGCTGTACTTCACTTACAGTCAACTGACAATAACACGAAGGAATGTCAGCAAAAGAAAGTGGAAGTGGTCGCTGTACAAAACTTCACGCCCATACCATGATTTTCATTATTTACTTCTTATCAAGTGTTGATTCGATTGTCTGTGTCATTTCTAATTTGCCAGAGTGATTACATGCACTGTGCTAGCAGTTCATTACTGCCAAGGATTTGGCTGCTCCTTACCTCCAACTCCAACTTCATAGATAGTCTCTCCATGTCCTTCATCCAACCTCTCCTTTAGTTTATGAAGTAAAAAGTCAAACTGTTCATCATCAGGACTGATCAAGGCCACCTACAGCAACACCAAAGTAGAGTTACATGTTATTTGTAATTTGTTATTAAGCAAGCATTATTAGACTAAAGGGTTCTGCAGATGGCTCTTGTTAGAGTTTATTCCTGGCTATTAGCATATCAAGCAGTAGATAGACACTGGGGGGTTGATAGGCTGGTTGATAGGCAGTCCTTACTGTCCACTTCACCATTATTAACTGTCAGCAGTTTCACTTGCTTGGTTTTCTTAGTTTGTTTGATCTTCCAGCATGACATTGTGAGTAGACTTGGCATGTTGTTTGCATTCCCTGCCAACCCATTCCTGCTATTATTCTTTTATTCAGTATTTTTATTTTATGTTATTCTCATTGTAAACACATCTATTACTCCACTAAAATATTGCTCAGTGTACCCAGAACTTTGTTAAAAATTTGTTTGGGGAGCTTGTGGCTAGGTTGTAGGTTTCTTGTGGTCAATTTTCATCAACGCATTGGATCTACTGGAAAAATTCTGCAGAAACCTTATCCCTAACATTTTACAACAAGGAGTAAAGAACACAAAATGATTATCTTGATGATGATGAGGAGGATGATAACGACCATGATAATGATGAGGAGTATAGCTTTTTGTTGATTACTTTTTATATTCTCCACACCACCTTCTCATTAACCTGGAAATGGTCAGGTTTATTTTTCCTGTTACTTTTAATTTGTATTAATTGTTTCTCTAATGACAAACAAAGGGAAAAGAGGGAAAGCTTGTACCCTAATGATTAGTAGCCATGTATTACAATAATTATTATGGTATATGTCATACCCTTGGATCAACTCCTTGTTCTTTGCCATTTAAAGTGCCACCATCCTCAAGGTAAAACTCGCCATCACCATCCGGAGCAAACAGGTTGTCAGCGCCATCTGGTGATCCATTTTGAGCACTAGTCAGTGAGGATCCTGAGAATTTCTCCTCGACATTTATGGTCTCTGCAGCAGCACTCATTCTTTTTTACACCTGAATAAAAATCAGGACATTTATATTTGACTTTGCCTCCCACATGTTTTCTGGGATAGAAGGACTTCCATATGATCTTACTTAAGGGGTATATCATCATATGTATCTTTCCATATCATCTCACTTAGGGGTATAAATCAAGGATTTTGGTTTCACTAGGGATGTTCAGGACAAAAGTCCAACCAAGTGGCCCATCAGGCAGGAGCTTATGCTTATCCCCCATTTCAGTGGCATGAAGCAACTACAGTCATGGACAAAAGTGTTGACACATTTGAGTAAAACAAACGCTTTCTATCGGCGTCCTTCCGTAATTTAAAAAAAAACATCTTTTTTGCCAATAGCCAAATCCCCCTCTCCCCCTTTCAATGTTCAAATGTGCTCTGTGGACACTGTTACGTGGTTACAACATTGAAAAGGGAGAGGGGGTCGAAATGTGAAATTGGAGATTGAAAAACACACCTATTCAACGAAACAGGTCTTTTTCGGGGAGTGTCTCAACTGCTTTTGTTCATGATTGTCTGAATTATATTTTACACATTGTGAAGTGTTCCCAGCATCATCACTGTTCCGTCTACTCAGTAGTACACAGCATCATTGTTTAGCAAACTATAAATCCTGTTGCGTACCAGTAGAGTGCAATATTATTATTACGTTACAGAGGTTAATTATTGGCGAGAATTATTTCACAAAATGGTTTTTGAGGAGCCATTGATGCAGAAAGGCAAAAATATGTTTTTTTCGTAAATTCTGTTTTTTTACGGTTCACACGAAACAAGACTTTAGATTTCAATGGTTCACAACAGTTCACAACGGTTCACATCCCCAATTAAAAAACATAAAAGACATTCTTTATTTCTGGTATGTGAACCACTGTGAACTGCTGTGAACCATTGTAAACCATTGTGAATCGTTGCAAAGCCACCTCAGGGCATATATTCTGCTAACAACATCAAGGAAAGGAGCAGAAAATCTGATTTTTATGGGTGACAACTGTTCCTGAGAACTGTTGCATTGTTGGCAATAGCTTGTGTCATGCCAGACTTCTGCTGCTGAGTTCAATCACTGGGTTTGTTATCAGCAAAATCACTCAGACAAATTTTGCGAATCAAAATCTACACGGACATAAATTTGGGTCTTTTCTTTGCCATATTATCTTACAAACATGATTTACTGTTTTCTAATGTGTGTGGACTCACTTTGTGCTTAGCAAGACCACTAAATATTGCAGCGAAATAAAGCAGCCACTAATACGCAGAGACTTGAAACGAGTCTGTGGAAAACTACTCTGTACTGTTCTTAAACCTCCAAACCCTGATCTAAACTACAACTAGACGGTTTCTATTGCAATACTTATGGTATTTCAGTATTTTCAACACATATATACTACAATTTCTATTTATTTTCGCTGAAAGGCAATTTCAGACAATCATGGACTTAAGTGTTGACACATTTGAGCAAAACAAACGCTTTCTATTGGCGTCCTTCTATAATTTCAAAAAACATCTTTTTTGTTGATAGCCAAACACCCCTCTTCTCCTTTTCAATGTTCAAATACGCTCCGTGGACACTGTCACATGGTTAAAACATTGAAAAGGAGAGAGGGGGTCAAAATCTGAAATTGGAGATTGAAAAATACACCTGTTCAAAGAAACAGGTCTTTTTCAGGGATTGCCTCAACTGCTTTTGTCCATGATTGTAGGTCGGAGTATTTCTAATCCCCCCTGGATGGGATGCTAGTCCATTGCAGGGTTACCCCTCACCATTAAATTCCCCAGGTAGAGAGGCACCGTGTCTAGTAAAGTGTCTTGCTCAAGAACATAACGCAATGACCCCAGCTACCAGTTCAAACCCAGACTGCTTGATCTGGAGAGCAAGCTAACCAATACGCCACAATTTTAGCCATCAGAGTATTTTTTAGGGCACACTCAAAGAAATAATAATAATAAACATAATTGTAATTTCCATTTTAAGTGATATCTTTTAGGGGTCAAATAAAGCTCGAGCCACATCCAGGCCAAGGGAAAGAATACTCAGTTTGCTTTTTGAAAAACCCATCTATATGGCCATAAATCATCTCAGAAACCATAGACGAAATAAAGAAACAAATGACTAAATTCAGGCTAACTATTTTCCGTTCAAAGATGGTTCATATATATAGGTTATTCAGGCTTAGAATTATACAGGAATTATACCATTTCTCCAAAACATCCTTACAATAGAATGCTGATATTTCGACCTTGGGCTGTCTCTGCATAAAACCAACTTGTAAAATTTCATTTTGCTTACCTGAAAACCACTCCTTACGAAAAATAGAAATCTTGAACCATCATTTGCAACAATTGAATTTCCAGGAAAGCTATTTGAACAGTGGAAGTCTCTTTTGTTATGCGAGCTGAGGTCCACTGGCGAAGTTCTGCAGACTGACAGTGAGAGGTTCGGTTTTATACTCTTGATTTCACAAAAGTCTCGCTAGCTGAGAAAGTGTGGTGCAACACAGCCCGGCAAAAACAATAACAATTTATGTTTTCTCGTTGCAGCCAAATTTCATCAGCCGGTCACGCTTGCGTACTGCACGTTTGATTGTCCCCAGGCCTCTTTGGACTCTTTGGAACACTATGAAGTGTTTGAATTTTAATGGTAGTTTTGAAGGGTATCCTTTGAAAAAACAGTAATCTAGCGTTATTTTCCGAGAACACTTTAACACGAAATTGAAGACTATAATATAAAAGAACAACAAAAACAACACAACCGACTTTATCTTAGCGATCCTGGGCACAATGGGGATGGGAGCGACTGGATCGAGTGAGACTGCTACGGTTCTTGTAGTCAGTGGGCTATGTGCCCATCAGCTATATACTTGATATAATATGATCCAAAATCAGGATGGAAATTTACCATGAGCGCCAGAGACAAATGCTTTGTGCAGTTCATACCCTAAACAATCTTTTCCAGGAGAAGAATGCATACAGCAAGGCAGATCTAGATGCTATTAGCTACAACCTTAGCCCAGATGCTTTTGTTAATCCTCATAAAAACATGCTTGGTTTAGGAAATTATGATGTCAACGTTTTGATGGCGGCCTTACAGTTGAGAGAATATGAAGCACTTTGGTTCGATAAGAGACTGTAAGTTGTTAAGCCTGTTAATGCTGAAAATAATAATTATCTTTAGACGCCTGCTATGTTTAGCTCTCTTCTCCTTCTAAGTTGAACAGTGTGATGTTGAACGTATCATTCCATTTAATATCTGCAACCCCTCCTCCCTCCATTGGAGTTTTGATTTTACTCCTCAGAAAAGTAAACTTTTTACCCCCCCAAGAGAGGAAGGTGAAAGTGCCAACAAACTTCCTGGTTCCCCTTCAGAATTTATGAAAGATCGAAGTCACAGACACAGTTGCCCTCTCATAAATCATTAAATGGCCTTTTAACCCCCTGCCTCCCCCTTAAGCGGCCTACACACAGCAAAGGTAAGTTGGCAAACTCGTGTTGGCAAACTTCAAAAAGTTGGCAAACTCATACCTTCACACGTCAAAGTCATGTCAAATCACAACACGTGGTAATTTGCAACATGGCTGACTTAGTGCAGTGACACTCACGTAGAACAGTGAAACAGAAAAAAAGAAGAGAAGAAACAGAAAACGGTGGAGAAATAGTAAAGCAATAGACCACAAGTATTTATGGTTTATAGACTGATAAACCATGCGGGATATTGGAAGAACACGAGAAGAATTTGTAACTCACGACCCACAGGCGAGTCATTTACTAATTCTTCGAGTGTTCTTCCAACATCCCAAGTGGTTTATCAGCCTATAAACCATAAAAACTTGTGGTCTATTGCTTTTATATAATAATTCAGAAGACATNTATGAATAACGTTAAATAACGGGGATCAGAACCAAGGAAATATATTCCTCAAACTCATCAATACCCTTCAAGTTTAAACAAAGGAAATACGGTTTTGGATTTCTGATTTTCACTAGCACATTGATGTTTGCGATTACATTTCTCCTTTCGTTTTTCCTTTGTCCTTTGTCTTCGATTTAGAAAATATATCAAACACGAAAGACAGTGTTTGACCATATTTGCAAACATATTGAAGCTCGTCTAAAGCACCTCGCTACCGGTGACATTTTCAACTCTCCTTGTCGGTGCTTGGTAATGTGGTCAAACACGGTATTTCTTGTTTCATATAATATTAAAGCAATAGACCACAAGTTTTCGTGGTTCATAGGCTGATAAACCACTTGGGATGTTGGAAGAACACGAGAAGAATTCGTTTAGTAAATCACTCACTCGCCTGCGTGGCTCCTGATTTACGAATTCTTTCCGTGTTCTTCCAACATCCCAAGTGGTTTATCAGCCTATAAACCATAAAAACTTGTGGTCTATTGCTTTTATATAATAATTCAGAACACACGCGAAATTTCCATGGTTTACCGGCACAATAAACCATAGCTGATTGACCAATCAGAGCGCGCGCATGGTATAAATGACAATAACCATTTTGCGGGGTAGCTAGAATATGCTCATCATATAAGATATCATAATTTCAGTTCTTGCTCAAGTGCTGTAAAATTAGTAATAGTAATTGGACCGAGTGGAGTACAATTTAGGGAGAAATCGCGCGAGTAATTTCAAAATGGGTCGAGCGCGAAGCGCGAGGCCGATTTGAAATTACGAGCACGATTTCACCCTGAATTGTACGACACGAGGTCCAATTACTAATTAGTCGTATCTATCACAAATTTCGGAATTAAAAATGTCTTTTGAGAACTTCTTTTGAGCGAAAGCGTATGTAGCACGTTTCATAAGTTTTGAAAGCTTTTGGAAACATTACGAAGTAGCCATTAAAGCGCGCGCAATTGACGTGCAAATGATGTGGGTATCCAATTACAGGTGTCCAATTGCAAAAGTTCAAATAAAATTGGATACCTGTAATTGGACACCCTCGTGATCGCGCGCCGATTACGTGGCAAATAGGCACGCGGAGAATCAATCACGATCGATAATTTCGTTATAGATACGAGTAAATGCGTAATGATTGAACCCAAATGTAGTAAAATATTACAACCTTAAACCTCAATTCCATCACTGAAATCTTCAATCAGTAGTCAATCTTGATCCAGTTTATTATTCATTTTCACATTTTAAGCCATTACTGACGAATAAAAAGTAGTTTTTCTCTCTTTGTTCATGTGTTTTTGTCATTGATATCACAATTGTCCTTATAAGTATTGAAACAAATCTTAAAAGTTATTTAATCTCGCGATTCAAGGAGAGAATGACTGCAATGTGGAAAATAAATCTTTCACTGGTATTTTAACGAATCCTGTATTTTCTGTGTCCTTAAATAGCGAAATCTCCCGAATCTGATACATTGTATCTTCACACAACGTTTCAAAGCGTTTCCCTTTCAAATTCAACCACTTCCTAGGATCTTCGTTCTTATAAGACGATCCACATGAGATGTCTTTGTTAGTTATAAGTTCACAAATGGAGGATGACATTCTCTCTTGGGTCTTAAGATAACACATGACCAAACATCAACCCGGGATATGATACCTGATTTGACAGTTCATAAGAAGTCCGAGAGGATGTTGCCAAAAATATTGTCTGGGAGAACAAATTTGGCCCCACTGGCATGTTAACATGTGGTTGCTATGGCAATGTCAAAAAACTTAAGTAGAGAAACGGGTTAAAATTGACAAACATATAGCGGCATAGAGCGGTATACGTTGTAAATGTTTATTTAAAGAATCGATCAATCACGCTTCATATCAAAAGGCTTTTCCCCTAGCATACATTGAAAAAAAAAGTATAGAAAGAGATAAAAAAAACACTTTCCTTGCTTTCACTCTCAAAGCATACGTAAACAGTTTAGACGCATTATAACTTAAGCTAAATAATAAATAGGAAACTAAGCCGTCAAAATGTACTGGCTTATTGTCTTAGTCTAATCTCAACAGTCAGCCCAACTGGACTTTAATATTTTATTTGTTAATCTATCGTCTAGGCTTTTTTATGGGTTTTCTGATGGTCTGTCAAATCAAAAATGCCGAGCTGACAAATCAAAGTCAGTGCCTGTTAGGATATGATGACGTTATTGCCACGTGATATGACCTCATCATGTCTTGCTGTCTCAAATAACTGCTGTCTGCACGGGGCTCAAAAATGATTGTTTATGTTTGGTTTAGTCAGTGCCACAGTGCCGCAGGTGACATTTTCAATTTCACTTGGTGTTCTAGCTGTTAAAGCGAAACACATAGAAAGGGCCGCAGTTTCTCACTTGAATTTCAATGGACCTCTTGCGACAATTTGGTCCACTGCGAAAGTACACATTCCTGGTTACTCTGCCTTCAGGCCAATGTAGGATGTGTACCATATAACCAGCCGGGCTCGCGAGTGCCACAACTCTTCTTGTTACATGAAGTACGTTGTTTGTTGAAAATAACAAAATAGAAACGTGTGTTATTGTAGCACAGTCTTTTTGGTATAAGAACCTTTCTATTATTATTATTATTATTATTATTATTATTATTATTATTATTATTCAAGAACATTGAGGCTGAGTTTGACAAGAATTTTAAGAACGTATTAAGAACATTCCTCAGGCTGAGAGTAGATTAAGAACGTTTTTATTTTGCCAATCTTTATATTAATGACAAGTATAAAATAAAGGTAACAAAAAGTGTAAATTAACCCAAGTATTTAAGGGCATGTTTTGTATAACATTAACCATGGTTTTGTCATTGCATGACACACATCTCGGTTAGTAATAATCAGCAGTCCTTATTTATAACTGTTCCAAAATACCTTTCACATCATCAAAGTCGTCAGGTGATACAAAGTATACCATGTAAATTTAAGAACATCTTGAGCACGTTTTCAGCCTCAGATCGCAAAAAATATAAGAACGGTCAGCCTCAGTTCCAAAATTAGACGTTCTTATTTATAAAAAAA